TTTCAGAGGTTAAATTATTAGATTTAGAGGTATAAACTAATCAGTGGATTAATACACTTGAAAGAATCAACAGGGTGATAACTCTAGGAAAATAGGGTATGTCTGGAAAAATAGGTCATGGGGCATGCCCTTTGGCCTTTGGTAGTCCCTCTCTTTCTCTCTCTCTCTCTCTCTTCTCTCTCTCTCTCTCTCTCTCTCTCTCTCTCTCTCTCTCTCTCTCTCTCTCTTTCTCTCCCCCCCACCCCACTTCCTGATTGCCATGTCTTGAGCTGCTCTTCTCTGCCACAACATTCTGCCATGATGTTGCACCTCACCTCAGACCCAGAGCTACTGAGTAAGTCCAACCATGGACTGAACTTCTGCAACGTGAGCCAAAATAAACTTTTTCTCCTTTAAGTTGTTCTTATCATCATGTCTTTCGGTCACAGTAATGCAAAAGCTGACTAAAACAAACTGGTACTGTGAAGTGGGATTATTGCTGTGACACACTAACCATATGGCTCAGAAGCCTTTGGAGCTGGTTTTCAGAGGAAGGAATTTTGAAAAGTTTAGAAATGTTAGCTAGAAAAGCTTTATAATGTTGTAAACAGAGCTTAATGGGCAATTCTGGTGAATGCTCAAAAGACCAGAATGTCATTGGGACTATGGATAGTAAAGACTGTGCTCATAAGATTTCAGAGAAGGAAGACTGTTGAAAATGGGATAGAGAGTATTTGTGTTACATTCTAGCAAAGAAGTTGCCTACACTTTGCCCATGACCTGAGACTTTCTTTGAGGCTGAATTTAAAGGTGATGAACTAATTAATATGGGGGAAGAAACTGCAAGACAGCACAACATTCAGGCAGTGGCATAGATATTGCTGACAGATTTTTGCAAAGTTTACCATGATAATCAGGAACAGAAAACACAACAGACAGATTTTAAAAACTTACAGTTTGGCCATAAAAGTGAGAGTCACAAGCGATTTGTAAATGAATAGGTATGGTCATGTTCCAATAAAACTTTATTTATTAAAAAAAAGTGAGAGTAAAACTAGAGCTAAGTAAGTTGTGCTAGTTAAAGACATTACAACCACTAAAAAGATGCTAAGTGCTTTGCACAGAGACAATAGAAAATACGGATTGAGGACATTTCAGGAATTGGCAAGACTTACACCCATCTCAGGCTGAAGAATAAAAAAAGTAAAATTTTCTTTGAAAAGATAGGGGCACCCTACTTGCCCATGGGGGTGTCTAGGAAGTTGTTTTATTGTGTAAAACTGTTCAGGCAGCCACAGCTGCTGCAGCTATGATCTCAGGATACTTGGCTACTGATCAAGATGGTGGCAGACCTCGGCATTTACCATGTTGTACTGGTTCTGCAGATGCTGAAGTTATGGGCTCATGGGGCTTCCAACAAGATTTCAAAGGAAGGTATGGGAGGCCAAGCAAAGTGTATCAGGGTTTGAATCCCTGCTGGCTCCCTGAGAGGGCGATTCATGAAGATATGAGAAAGAATACAAAATTACAATGGAGACTAAGAGATTCCAGTAACATGAAATATCTGCTGAAGAAAGTTTGTAGGAATCAAGCAGAAATAAGCCAAAAGAGAGTCCATGTGGGCTGCAACTGGCAAGGCCATAAAAGCTACACAAACCCTTTGGAAAAAATATCATAATTCCTATGTGCCCCAGATGCTGGACATAGAGCTACAGGACTTGTTTGCCAAGCTGGATTTTGCTCTTTCTTTCATCCTACTCCTTCCTTTTATTCCCTGTTTCTCCCTTGTTGAATGGAAATGTTTATTCTGTGCCATTTTATATTGGCTATATGTGACTTGCTTTTTATTTTAACTCTTCTAGTTAAGAGTTTTCCTAAGTCTCAAATGAGGTTTTGGACTTGGATTTTTGGGCAATGCTGGAACTATTAAGAGTATGGGACTCTTGGAAATGAACTACATGCATTTTGCATTTTGAGATGAGCATGAATTTAGAGAACCAGGGACACCTTTAGATATGAGGTGTTCCCCAAAATCTCATGTGTGAGACAATGAAAGAACTTTCAGAGATTCACTGATTAGAATATGAAAGATATAACCTAATCCATGGATTAATTTGCTTGAATGGATTAACTGGATGGCAACTGTAGGCAGGTATGTCTTTGGGAATTATATTTTGTCTTTAATGAGCAGAGTAACCCCCTTACCCTTTATTCATGGTTGCCATGTCCTGTGCTTTTTTCCTTTACTATACCCTTCTGCCATAATTTTTGCCTCATCTCAGGCTCACAGATTTGGAGTCAGTCAACCATGGACCAAACCTCTAAAAAACCATGAGCCAAAATAAACTTTTCCTCCTTTAAGCTGTTCTCATCAGGACTTTTGGTCACAGCAACACAAAAGCTGACTAAAATACTACTATATAATCCAGCAGTCCCATTTCTGGGTATATACATCCAAAAAAAATTAAATCAGTATCTCTCAAATAAAATCAGTTACTGCAGCATTACACTCAACAAAATATGGAATCAACCTAATTGTCCATCAATGGATGAAAGGATAAAGAATATGTGATAGATATATAGATTATATATCTAGATCATACATGCATGCGTGGCGCGCTCGCACGCACACACACACATACACACACATGGCAATAGAATATTAACCAGTCATAAAAAGAAGAAAATTCTGTCATTTCCAACAACATGGGTGAACATAGAAGACATTATTCTGAGTGAAGAAAGCCAGACACAGAATTACAAATACCTTAATATCACTTATCTGTGAAACCAGAACAGTTGAACTCAAAGGAGCAGAGTATAATGGTAGTTACCCAAGGACTGGGAGTTGGTGGAACTGGGGAGATATTGTTAAAAGGTACAAACTTATTAGTTATACATGAATAAGTTCCACATATATAAAGCACAGCATGGTGACTATAGTTAATAATATCATGTTGTTTTATGAAATTTGCTAAGATAATATGTCTTAAATATCCTCATCATACACACACACACACACACACACACACACACACACACACAACAAAAAATGATAACTATGTGTGGTGGTGGATGTGTCATGAGGTATGTGTATATCAAATCATATCTTTAAATTGTAGTTCAAATACATAAATTTGTCAATTATACCTCAATAAATCTTGGAGAAAACAAATAAAAGGAAGTGAAATAGTTGAATTGAAGAATGTAATAAGAAATCAATAATTGACAGGAAATAGGCACTGTGCAGCATGGCATTGTGGGAACCCTGATATGTGGGTTCTGTGTGCTTCCATGAATCAAGGCGAGTAAAAGACCTGAAGCCAGTGGCTTTCCCTGATGGTGGTAGTAAAGGATGAGAATTAAACATCTGAGCAGTGGACTTGGATAATGTGTAACGAGGGAAGGGTGGCATAAGATTGGGTTCAAAGTTCATGACACTACCATTAGTTAAGAGGAGAGGGTCACAAGGTCACACCTACTAACCTAGTGGCTATATCCAAACTTGGGAGGGCTGGAACAGAAGGTACTTAGGTAATTGTCCTTTGGAGAAATGAAGTCACTAAAAAGGAAGCCCAGTCTACATTTTATAGTTTCAGGGGGGAAATTGGATCCAAATATCAGTGCCTGGTACTGTCACAGTGTTACTTGGGGTATCTCCCAGGTAAGCCCTTGGAGGGCTTCAAGAGCTAGAACAGAAATTCACTGTCTATCTTGGATATTTCCACTAAGCTAAGCAGAGATTGTGCCATAACTGGAAGTTCCAAGAGCAGGATGCATGGCCACATGGGGAGGAAGAATACTTGTAATTCCTCTGGATCCTTGGAGACAATTCTGCACACAGTTAATGAGAATTTGTTTTATTACTCTCTCACCCATAACACTCCAGAGACTTAGTGGTACCATCTCAGAAGACACTCTCAGGAGGGACGCAGGGACCATGAGTATTTACATCTTGTGAATGATGGTAAGAACCCAGGGAAGGGAGTTTTGGGACTCAAGAAGCACTAGGAGATTTTCCTCAACAAGGTTCCTTTTCTGCATGCTGTTTGTTGACACAGATTTGTTCTCTTTTTGACTCATCATTCCATGGAGCAGAAGTGAAGAGAATGGAATGAATACATGAGATAAGACATCCTTTCCAGGTAAGAAATCATTTTTGAGAATACTGGTGAGAAGGTGGAAATGTCTGATCTCAGAGAGATAATTAGTCATCAGTGGACACCCAATAAGAGAGCTAACTTAGGTCCATCCTAATGTAGATATTTTATATCTATAAAGTTCAATCTTCTTTTAACGCAGTCTACTTCTGAGTCACATTCCCCTGACTCAGGATATGAATTTTCAACTGAAGAGCAGGTGAATTTGAGAGAGAATATCCCACACAAGTTCACTCCCTCCCCCTCGCTTTCTCTTCTCTCATCTTTCTTTTCATCATAGCTGTTTACATTCATTTCAATGTTCTTTAGGTGACTCTTGCTCCATTGCAAATGATGTGGAAAGAAACAGCTAAATTAGAAAGAAAAATTTATTTATCTGTACAGGTATATAGCTGAGTGGTACAGTGCTGTCTCACATGTGCATGTCCCTGGGTTTGATCCCAAGCACCAGTAAAAATTAAAAGATTGTTTAATTACAAACTACAAACTAGGTGAGATCACTGCCATCTCCTTATTATCAAGATGTGAGTTATACACTGCTAATCATCAATGAGAAGATGACATGAAGCTCACTTCATAGTCTGCATCTGTAGTTCCTACAGTTATTAGCCACAGGGTCCTCTCTCTCTACCCCTGCACCCCCCTGCCTCCTCTCTCTCTTTCCCTTGCATATGGAGCCAGCAAATGTGCCCATCAACAAATGAATGAATAAAGAAAGTGTACTATATATACACAATAGTTTTACTCAGCCTTAAAGAAAAGAGAAAGTATGGAGAATACTGGTAAATAGATGAAACTGAAGAACAGCATGCTAAGTGAAATAAGCCAGACGCAAAAAGTCAAGATCAAACTTTTCTCTCAATGTGGAAGCTAAACCAAACTAAGGAGGGTAAGACAGGGAGCATGCCATGAAAGTAAAAGGGAAATCAGAAGAAGTGGATTGAGAGAGACAGAGAGAGAGGAGGATGCAAAAAAGGAAGAAATAGTGGAATGAAATTGACTAAACTGGGGCTGGGGATATAGCTCAGTTGGTAGTGGGTTTGCCTCACATGCACAAGGCCATTCAATCCCTATCACCACAAAAAAAAGAAAAGAAAAGAAAAAGAAATTGACTAAACCATGTTATGTACATGTATAAACATACCTCAATGAATTTCACCTTTCTGTGTATCTATAAAGCACTAATTAAAAAAAAAAAAAAAAGCTATAAATAAATAGAAGGAAGACCAATGGAGTAAAGGAAGGGGAACAGGGTGGGGGAGGAGGAGAGAGGAAGGGGAAGTTCTGGGAACTGAATTGGAGCAAATCATATTCCATACTTGTATAATTATGTCAAAAATAAACCCCAATACTATACATAACTATAATGAAATAATAATAACAAAATTTTTAAAGTAAGCGATTCAGCTTCGATTTTGCCATACTCAGAGGGAAATAAATGAACACCAGAGTAAACACTCCATTAATAATTGTTCAGTATAAGTACAAGTTGGGGAGATGCTCATCACAGATGACATAAGAACCATTAATTGACAATGTTTCCGTCTGTAGGTATATACAAGTCTGTGGAATGTCCAACCTGACAAGAGTCTCCGAATTCATCCTCTTGGGACTCTCTTCTCGGCCTGAGGATCAGAAACCACTCTTTGCCCTCTTTCTTATCCTATACCTGGTCACCCTGCTGGGAAATATGCTCATCATCTTGGCTATCCGCTCTGATCCTCAACTCCAAAACCCTATGTATTTCTTCCTAAGCATTTTGTCCTTTGCTGATATTTGCTACACAACCGTTATAGTTCCCAAGATGCTGGTGAACTTCTTATCAGAGAAAAAGACCATTTCCTATGCTGGATGTCTGGCACAGATGTACTTCTTCCTGGTCTTCGGCAACATGGACAGTTACCTCCTGGCAGCCATGGCCATTGATCGCTATGTAGCCATCTGCAATCCCTTCCATTATGTCACTGTTATGAACCACAGGCGCTGTGTCCTGCTGCTGGCCTTGTCGGTTGCTTTCTCCTATCTCCACTCCCTCCTGCATGTCCTCCTGGTGAATCAGCTCACCTTCTGTGCATCAAATGTTATCCATCACTTCTTTTGTGATGTCAACCCTGTTCTGAAACTGTCCTGCTCTTCTACCTTTGTTAATGAAGTTGTGGCCATGACGGAAGGGATGGCCTCTGTGATGGCTCCATTTGTGTGTATCATCATCTCCTACCTGAGAATCCTTGTTGCTATTTTCAAGATTCCCTCTGCTGCTGGAAAACGCAAAGCCTTCTCCACCTGCAGCTCCCATCTCACTGTGGTGACTCTGTTTTATGGGAGTATTAGCTTTGTCTATTTTCATCCCTTGTCCAGCTATACTGTCAAGGACCGAATAGCAACAATCAACTACACAGTATTGACATCAGTGTTAAACCCGTTCATCTACAGTTTAAGAAACAAAGACATGAAAAGGGGCTTAAAGAAATTGATAAGCAAGATTAACTACCAAGTGGATAGGTTTTGTTTTGCAAAGGCCAATAAAATCCATGTACCCTGATTGCAAGGTGTGTGTATGTGTTAGTATGTGCATGTGTATGTGTGTGTGTTTGTATGTGTATGTGCATACACATGCATGTACATGTATCTGATGTAAATCTGTTGTGGAGAAACACTCATCAATTGCAGTTGTACCTAGTAGTTTTCTACCTGTGTTCTCTGTCACCCATGATTGTGGTTAGGATGTCTTGTTCCTAGTCCTATTATAGACTCACTTCATAATAGCTCTCCATCCCAGAAAGTCACATTTCCTTCACTCATTCCATATTTCTTTGTATCCTTTCATATTTCTCTCCATTAATTCAGCCATATTTGGTCATTTAACATAACAGAGAGTTTTCATACATGTCTATATACAAATTTACATGTGTGAAAAATATGTATGCAAACCTGGGCATTTTATTCTATTTGAAACCATAAGAAACTTTTTGCAGAATGTGGGTGTGTATGTGTGTGTGTTTGAAAGAGAGAGAAAGAAAGAAAGACACCTCCCCATTCAACTAAGGGTTCTCCAACTGCAGAATCTGTGTTCCTGGTCCTGACATGATAAAACTATGGTCTCTTTTTAAAATGCTCACAAGAACTGCATGCCGTGGTCTCTGGAGTACTAGACTCTCTCTCCACAGCTTACACCAATAATCTAACTGCCTGTTCGTAGGACAGGTCAATGTTTCTGCATGTGTTTGGGTCTCTACTCTTCTTTCCCTTCCTGTACTTAAGGTGCATTCACCCCCTCAACTCTCCCTGAGTTTTTGTTTTTTGTTTTTTGTTTTTTGTCTGGGTGCTCTTCTCTCTAGAGATGCTTGTGTTACTACTGTCTCTTCTCTGTCAATCTTTTTTGAGAATAAAGGAATCTGAAAATAAAGTAATCTGAAAAGCTTCCTATAGTCACTGGAGACAGTAAAAACTCAGTGGATGTGATCTACTAGTAAGGGCCTTCTGGCTCAGAGTACCTGCTATTTTAAAAGAGGTTCCCAATTTATGTAAAGAATGAATTATGTGATTTAGTAAAGCAGTCAGATAAATTATTCTATGCAGTTTTCTTCAGGACAGTGATTCTTTCCTAGTGTTTGTATTTTAATGTCTATGTTTAGAAAATGAACTATTAAATTAAAATATTCTCATGGTATTTTAGATAAGGAGCAGTCCTTTCTAAGATAGATGATCTCAAAGTTTTTAAATTATAGGATAAGGTTCTGGTGATCTATTATACAGCTTAATGACTATACTTAATAATGTGTTGGATACTTTTAAAGAACAAAAGCAGTAGATTTTAGATGTTCTTACCACAAATAAATGGTATTTGATAGTTATGTTACTAGCCTGATGTGATCATTCCTGATGGGATCATCATTTCATGAATTGAAAAACCACATTGTATTTCATAAATATATACAACTATTGTTTTTCAATTAAAAATAAAATAATTTTTAAAAGAAATTCTAAATTCCTTTAATTTTGCCACAATAATCCTGAACCAAAGGCAAGGTAGGGTTGGGAAAATGATATACTATTCAGTTTCATTCCTTTATTACACACAAGCAAATTAATTATAACTTTCATGCCAACTTCAATCAATTGATAAGGATTGCTATAGTAAGAAGATTTATGTGCCTACTCTGGGTTAAACAAAGAAGAATGAGTGAAATCAATTTTATGAGCTACGGGTGTAGACCAAAGAGTACTGGTACATTTAACAAATGAATCTTCAATTGCCACAGGCCTTGGTGACTTGATATGCAAAGGAACTTCATTTCTATTGCTTTATTTCTACAGTTTAATTTTATCTTTGAATTTGTGCTCTGAATGGAGAAAAATACTTGGGACAATAACCAGTTCTCTACTGTCCAAAAATCCAATGCCACCTTAGCCTAGTCTCTTTTGGTCCCGTTATGGTCACATATTGAAGATATGATCCCAAATGCAGCAAAGCTCAGAGGTGCGGCTTTTGAGAAGTGACTGGATCGTGAGAGAGCTCTGACCTCCTCGGTGCATTAATCCAGTGGTAGGGGAATGGACTCCTGGGAGACAGTGCAAATTTGAGACAGGTGGGGCATGGCTAGAGGAGGTAAGTCTCTGGGAATGTGCCCTACCTCAGGCCCAAAGCAATGTAGTCAGCCAACTATGGACTAAAACCAAAAGCTGAAACAAATCTTTCCTCCTTTAAGTTGTTTTTCTCAGGTATTTGTCACCGTGATGAAAACTTAACTAACACAGGTCCTATGCTAGACTCTGTTACTGACATCTAGCCTTGTTTCATTCATGGAACATGACTAGGGCTTCTTGTGGGGACTGGTAACTGGATTTTATTACTCTTCATACCCTCTAATCATGACCCAATGGAGATACCATGCTTTGCCATCATGAGGCAGTTCCTACCATACATATCTCCTTGACATCATTCTCCTCTCTCTCATATATCAAATTGGCTCTTGTCACTCCTACCTAATTTGAATGAGCCTCTCTAGACCATTGGAAAATCTTGGTATTACTGCAGAAGAATACTTGGGGGAATATCCAGTCCTCTACTGTTCGAAAATCTAATGCTATCATTTTCTCTTTTTATTGATATTTTTTAAATAAATGACAGTGGAATGCATTACAATTCTTATTATACATATACAGCACAATTTTTCATATCTCTGGTTGTATATAAAGTAATTTGAAACCCAATTCGTGTCTTCTTACATGTACTTTGGATAATGATGTCTATCACATTCCACCATCATTGCTAGTCCCCTGCCCCCTCCCTTTCCCTCCCACCCCTCTTCCCTATCTAGAGTTCATCTATTCCTCCCACGCTCCCCCTCACTACCCCACTATGAGTCAGCCTCCTTATATCAGAGAAAATATCTGGCATTTGTTTTGGGGGGATTGGCTAACTTCACTTAGCATTATCTTCTCCAACGCCATCCATTTACCTGCAAATGCCATGGTTTTATTCTCTTTTATTGCTGAGTAAAATTCCATTGTGTATATATGCTACATTTTTTAATCCATTCATCTACTGAAGGGCATCTAGGTTGGCTCCACAGTTTAGCTATTAGGAATTGTGCTGCTATAAACATTGATGTGACTGTGTCCCTGTAGTATGCTGTTTTCAAGTCCTTTGGATATAGTCTGAGAGGGACAGCTGGGTCAAATGATGGTTCCATTCCCAGATTTCCAAGGAATCTCCATACTGCTTTCCATATTGCCTGTACCAATTTGAAGTCTCACCAGCAATGTATGAGTGTACCTTTTCCCCCACATCCTCTCCAACACTTATTGTTATTAGTCTTCATAATAGCTGCCATTCTGACTGGAGTGAGATGATATCATAGAGTAGTTTTGATTTGCATTTCTCTGATTGCTAGAGATGATGAACATTTTTTATATATTTGTTGATTGATTTTATATCCTCTTCTGAGAAGTATCTGTTCAGGTCCTTGGCCCATTTGTTGATTGGGTTATTTGTGGTTTTGGTGCTTAGCTTTTTGAGTTCTTTATATACTCTACAGATTAGTGCTCTATCTGATGTGTAAGGGGTAAAAATTTGCTCCAGGATGTAGACTCTCTGTTCACCTCAAAGATTGTTTCTTTTGCTGAGAAGAAACTTTTTACTTTGATTCCATTCCATTTATTGATTCTTGGTTTTAATTCTTGCGCTATAGGAGTCTTATTAAGGAAGTTGGGGCCTAATCCCACATGATGAAGATTAAGGCCTACTTTTTCTTCTATTAGATGGAGAGTCTCTGGTTTAATTCCTAGGCCCTTGGTCCACTTTGAGTTAAGTTTTGTGCATGGTGAGAGAGAGGGGTTTAAATTCATTTTTTTGCATATGGATTTCCAGTTTTCCCAGCATCATTTGTTGAAAAGGCTATCTTTTCTCCAATGCATGTTTTTGCACCTTTGTCTAATATAAGATAATTGTAATTTGTGGGTTAGTCTCTGCGTCCTCTATTCTGCACCATTGGCCTACAGTCTGTTTGGGTGCCAAAATCATGCTGTTTTTATTACTATTGCTCTGTAGTATAGTTTAAGGTCTGGAATAGTGATGTCACCTGCTTCACTCTTCTTGCTAAGGATTGCTTTAGCTATTCTGGGTTTCTTCTTTTTCCAGATGAATTTCATAATTGCTTTTTCTATTTCTATGAGGAATGCCATTGGGATTTTGATTGAAATTGCATTAACTCTGTATAGTGCTTTTGATAGTATGGTCATTTTGATAATATTAATTCTGCCTATCCAAGAGCAAGGTAGATCTTTCCATCTTCTAAGATCTTCTTTGATTTCTTTCTTTAGGGTTCTATAGTTTTCATTGTATAGATCTTTCACCTCTTTTGTTAAATTGATTCCAAGTATTGTTTTTTTTTTTTTGAGGATTGTAAATGGGGTAGTTTTTCTCATTTCCTTCTTAGAGGATTGTCACTAATATATAGAAATGCCTTTAATCTATGAGTTTTGATTTTATATCCTGATACTTTACTGATTTCATTTACTAGTTTTAGAAATTTTCTGGTGGAGCTTTTTGGGTCATCTAGAATTGTATCATCATATAGAAAAGAATATAGAACCATATCGTCAGCAAACAGCGCTAATTTAAGTTCTTCTTTTCCTATACATATCCCTTTAATTTCTTGTTTCTGTCTAATTGCTCTGGCCAGTGTTTCAAGAACTATGTTGAATAGAAGTGGTGAAAGAAGGCATCCTGTCTTGTTTCAGGTTTTAGAGGGAATGCCTTTAATTTTTCTCCATTTAGAATGATATTGGCCTGAGGCTTAGTGTAGATAGTCTTTACGATGTTGAGATATGTTCCTGTTACACATAATAATTGTATATTTATGGGGTACAGTGTGACATTTCAACACATGAGTACAATGTGTGATGATGGTCAGATTAGGATAACTGACCATTAGTTACCTAGATATGTATAATTTATTTGTGTTGGGAACATTCAAAATTCTCCTTACTAAGTATTTTTTCTATTCTAGAGCTTGAATCTGGGCCCCCACAGCACAT